GGGGAGGGGCCACAAGGGTGAGAGGCCCCGTTCCCGAAAAAAAAAAAAAAAAGAGGGTGAACGTTCTAGGAGAGTGCCCACGGCTCAGAATGCGTGGCCGGCCTGCCCGTTTCCACGGCTTCGGGCACAGGCAGCTGGCGGGGCTGGAGAGGTGCCGGGACAGGCAGGGGGACCCTGCAGGTGAGCTGTGGCTTGAACAGATGCCAAGCAGGCCTGTTGCTCTCTCGCTCACTTCAGCCTCGTCCCCCGGGGCTCCCACTGCCCGTCCCTGGCTCCAGGTCAAAGAGCACACCTGTTACCTTCATCCTAGGAGCTCCTGGAGGTCAGGCCTGTGTCTCACCTCCACATCCCCTCTGTGGAATGCAGAAGGAGCCATGGGATGCTGAGCCCTGCCCGTCTGACTCTTCCTCCTGTTTCTTGAGATTCACCATCTTCCCCAAGGCCAGGGCAGGACATAGGCCTGGCACTAGCGGGTGCCGCTCGGCTCCCTCTCCTGCCCAGGTCGGGGGAAGTGGGAGAAGCAAAGACCCCTCCATTTGACTCAGTTTACCAAGCAGTGACTAGACAAAGTCAGTTATCAAAACATAATAACATTATCTTTTTGCATACCTGGATCTACAGCTGTTATTCCCTCCTGTGATTCTCGCCACCAGCGAAGTCCTGACTAGAATATGGAGGTGTAAGAAGAATCACAATCAAGTAAGTCAAGGGATAAGATGTAAAGAAAGAGGAGTCGGGACTTCCCTGGTGGCGCAGTGGTTAAGAATCTGCCTGCCAATTCAGGGGAGTTGGGTTCGAGCCCTGGTGCGGGAAGATCCCACATGCCACAGAGCAACGAAGCCCATGCGCCACAACTCCTGAGCCTGCGCTCTAGAGCCCGCGAGCCACAACTACTGAAGCCCGTGCACCTAGAGCCTGCGCTCTGCAACAAGGAAAGCCACGACAATGAGAAACCTGTGCACGGCAACAAAGAGCAGCCCCTGCTCGCCACAGCTAGAGAAAGCCCACGCGCAGCAACAAAGACCCAACGCAGCCCCAAATAAATAAATATATAAATTAATTTATATTAAAATAAAGAAAGAAAAAGACAAAAAGAGGAGTTGGCCAGACAGTCTGGGAAGAATGACCAGTGAGAACGAGTTATTGATGGGGTCCCTGGTGGCTGCTGGGAAAGCAAGTTAGCAGAGCTGGGTGCCACAGCCAGGCTCTCGGGGGTCAAGGCGAGGCGCAAGGCGAGGGGGCTCCAGTACAGACAGGTGGCAGGGCCAGCTGGGAGAAGAGCACGGAGGGCAAGACAGGGATTTTCCAGGATCAGGAAGCCACGTGGCTAGGTGGGGGTCTGGGAGGGAGGCTGTGGCGGGACTGGACGAGAACCCAGGGGCCACGGGAGGCAGAGGATGCCCTGGGAGCTAGAAAGCAAATGGAGGGCTTGGCCCTGGAGGGAGAAGCCAGCAGAACAAGAGTGGAGGGGATGGAGACAGACCCCCACATGAACAAGGAGAGGTTCACGCGGACGGCCCTGGCTTCTCTGTTCGCTGGAAGGCAACACGATGTGCGCAGGGTTCGAAGGAAGCGCGCACTTAGCGGATCTGGGGCAGCCCATAGAGAACAAGCCAAGAAACCTGGGCAGCCGTGGCAGGTGGCAGAGGGGTTGCCGCCGCCTCCAGAGCATTGGTACTGACTGCTGCAGACCCCACCGCCCAGGGCTGCTACTCCGCCAGGGCGATTCACACACACCGTCTACGCACAGGATCCGAAGTGTGTGTGTGGGGGGGTGTTCTGTTATTCTCCCCATTTTACAGGTGAGCAACTGAGGCTTCAAAAGAGCAGGTGACTTGCCCAGGTGGGAGCTGGGATTGAAACCCAGGTCACCTGTCCTCTGAGGGATCTTGTGTGGACCCACCTGTCAAGCTCTGTGCCTTGTGGCCCAGGAGCAGGGCCAAAGCCGAGACACTGAGGGTGCTGCCTGGAAAGGAGGCTGCTCTGTGGGACCCCGATGGGAACCCCCAAACCCAGGGAGCTGGGATATGGCAATGGAGAGCCCTGAGGGAGACCAGGAGGTCACAGTGAGTGCCCGGAGGCATCAGTGCCCTGGGGGGCTGTTAGCAGATGAGGATGAGAGGTGGCCAGGGTGGGAACAGACTCCACGGACTCAGTGTCGGACCTGGCAAAGTGGAGGACGGCAGTTCACTGACCGGTACGGGGAGCCACGGTGACAGTTTCACCAGTCAGCTCATCGCATGCCCCTGAAGGCTGCAATTCCTGCCACACACCTGAGCATCATTTTGCCTTTGTTCCTGTTGGTTCTCTGGACTTCTATTTCCTCGAGAGGAAGTCCAGAGAGGAGGCATGACCCGCCTGTATCTAGGAGCCAGACCTCATCTAATCCTCACGGGAACCTGAGAGGGAGGTGTTATCACCACTTCCACACGTGAGGAATGAGGGGACACAGCAGTCAGGATCACACTGGGAAGTCGGGGGGGGCCAAGACCGGAGCTCGGGTCTGTGTGTTAACATGCGTGGGACACAGCGGTGGTGACGCCAGCAAAGATCTTGGGAGGACTGCGTCAGTGATCAGGCAGAAGAGAAACCACGTGTCCCGGGGGCGCCCACCCCCACGCCGCCTGCCCCGACACCCTAGCGCTGCCAAGAGGCTCAGCCTCACTCCTCTGCCCCCGGCTTCAGCAGGACCACGAAACCAGGTCAGGCAGCAGGTACACGGCAGAGGCACGAGGAAGCCCCCAGCTCTGCCCTGCTGGGCTCTGCAGAGAAAACAGCATGGGAAACCAGAGCACCTCGAACCGACTGTGCTGACGGAGCGGGAGGGCCATGGGGGTCATCGCTCAGCGCTGGGGTCTCACACCTCAGGAGGGAATTGAGAAGGGGGTCCCGGGAGGGGAAGGTACGTACTTGACATTGGTGTTGGTGCAGATGATGTACTCAATCTCGTCGGAATAGGGGTTCTGGAAGGTGAAGCTGCTGGTGCGGATTAACACCCACTCCCGGTTCTTGGTGCGGAATCGATACATGACCGACAGCACTTGGCCTTTCAGCTTCACCACCTGAGCAAACATTTGGAGAAGGAAGTCAGCAGGAGGAAGGATGGTGCCAGACAGAGGAGGGGGAGGCAGCCAGCGGGAGCTCAGGACAGGAGCATCGTAGCCAAAGACAGGCACGGAGGGTGGGGGGGGTGGTGGGAGAGAGCGGTCACCTGACGGGAGCCCTCTGTCCACTTCCCCTGTGAGGCAGGGCACTGCATTTAGGTTGTCCTGTCACCACCGTGTGAGAAACCAACTAGTCAATGCCCATTTGATATCAGAACGTTTCAGCGTTTACAAATCAGATCATGAGAACTCTGCAAGCTGGAGGGTTTCCCTTTTTGCCTTGGCTGCTAGGGCGCTCTGGGTTTGGTGACAGTGCTCCCGTGAAGTAAGGCTCTCATACTCAGCTATGTCCTGACATTGTATTCATGGGTTTATTTATTCATACCTCTCATTAAGAAATTCTTAAACTCTGTTTAACATTGCAGATTGGATTAAATATACTCTCTGGGAGGAGATAAAATAAAATAACTAATTTCTATGCATTATCTATTTGTATGCATGTATCTATTATTACCCTTTTTTTTTTTTTTTTTTTTTTGGCTGTGCTGTGTGGCACGAAGGATCTTAGTTCCCTGACCAGGGATCGAACCCGTGCTCCCTGCAGTGGAAGCGTGGAGTCTTAATCACTGGACTGCCAGGGAAGTCCCTCTACGATTGCTTTTATGTTGCAGTATGGTTTCCAGAATACTTCTAAATGTAAACCCTCACAAGAACTAGGTGAGGTGGGCTTTACTATTTACAGAGGATAACGCTGAGTGTCACGGAAATAAAATAAGTTGCCCAAGAGCGGACAACTTTGGTGGAAAAGCTGGGACAGGAACCGAGATCTTGCTTCCAAACCACAAGTGTGTTTCAGCGGACACACGGCTGGCTTTTCTGCTCTGTGCAGACACACACGATCTATCACACACAGAAACCCGGAGGTGCGGAGGCGGGCGGGCGCAGGTGCAGAAAGCGGCAGTTCTCAGGGGGCAGTTCTCAGCTGAAGCAGGAACGTGAGGAGAAAGGACACAGATGGCTGGTGCATCTGGGCCTGGCTGTGCTCATGCACCCAGGACAAAGCAAGGCAAACAGGATAGCCCCCTCCTGGCCTTCAGGACGGGAAGGCCCCAGGCGGCCCGACCGCAGACCACAGTGTGACCAGAGATGAGAATGGGGACCTGGTCCTAGGGGTCGGGGAGGCACTTGTGCTTTATTCCAGGTTGGACGTCAGTAGCCAGTCTGGGGGCAGGGACCCCTCGGTCACCGAGTCTCCCCCACCCTCAGCCCAGGGCCCGGCACAGAGCAGGCCCCTCCAGCACATTTCCTGAGCCGACCTGATGCATCTTTGGCCCCGCGCCCTGGGCTGATGCAGCCGGGGCGACCATCCTCTCTCTGCACTGAGGGTGCTGGGCTCCCTGGTGGGAAAGTCCACTTGATAAAGAAACCAGACCAAAAGCACAAGGAGGGGAGACCCTTCCTGACACCTCATGTGAGGAAGCATAGCCGTGGGGCGAGGCCAGGCTGGGCACTTGGGGGTGCCTGCCAGCCGGCCTGCAGCCCCAACAGGAAGCTGGCCAGAGGTCAAGGCCACGTGCCCCTCAGGTCGATATTCTGAGGGGTCCTCCTCTGAGTCTGCACAAAGCACACGGGACGCAGGCAGCGCCCCCGTCGTGAGACCACGTCTTCCACACTCTGAAGCTCGCGGATGGAACCTTTTCATGTTTCCTCTAAGCAGGATGCCTGAGATGGTGTGAAATTTCTTAACTCCATGTAACAAACACTCCCAAGGCATGGCCTGTGTGCAAGCTCAGCCCTTGGAGTTGTGGCTAAATAGCCGGGGGAGGGAGCGCAGCCCTGCAACCGCCTCGGGGCCGACGTGCAAGCATCTTGTGCGTGTTACCTCACGCAGTCCTCACAGCAGTATTTTGTGTAACTGGAAACTGAGCCTCAGAGGAGTTAACTATCCTGCCAAAGCCTTATTGACTAAGGAGGGGCAGAGACAGGATGGGATCCCAGGTCTACCTGACCCTGTGCCCCTTGTCTTTTCTTGAATCGCTATAGCTGAGACAGAACACTTGTCCCCCAAGAGCTTCTCACCTAGCACAGGCAGGGCAGGTGCATGGGTAACTGTAACTCAGAGAGAGCAAATACCACTACATAAACATAAGATTGAGGCAGGAGATAGATGGGACCCAGGCTGAGCAGCTGGAGTTTGCCCCGCTGTGGGCAGACACTCCAAAATAGCAGGAGCGAGAGACGAGCTGGGCCCTGCCCAGATAAGAGATAAAAGACCACATATTCCTCATCCTCGAAGTCAAGGAGACCTTCCTGACTACACACGTGCAGAAAGGCTCCTTGGAGGTCAAACAGGAAAGGGGAGCCACCCCGTAGTAGGTGATGTCAACCTACCCGTAGGCCTCTTCACTAGAATCCACCTTGGCTAAGAGATGCGCACACGCATGGGAGGACCCTGAGATAAATCAAATACGGACCCAGAACCAGGCAAAGCAAGATGACTGGACAAAGGAAACGGGAAGAAATGCCCCCTATAAGTGATTCTCTCTCTGAGCCCGCCTGTGTGTCTATCCACACATATTCTTTTTCCTAATGAACATTTTACTTGTTTCACTACTTTCTGTCTTTGTGGGATTCTTTTCTGCAAAGTTGAAGGGCCAGGGCCTTGTCACTGGCCACTGGTCTAGTGGCTAGGATTTGGTGCTCTCACTGCTGCGACCTGACCTCAATCTCTGGCCGGGAACCGGAAGCCCTGCTTCAAGCTGCTGCAGGCCGAGGCCACCTGAGATCAAGATCAGGTGCCACAGGTTACCAGCAAGTCGAGGAGACAGCCTTTCTCAGGATCCAGAAAGGGTTCCTGGAGGGAGATGGGTTTGGGTAAAATGTTGGCAAGTGAACATGCTGCGCCTTCTGGGGAGGGCTCTCCTGGCAGAAGGTGCAGCGTGAGCAGATGTTTGGGGGCGGGGAGACCTGAGGTGCGATGGGGGATGAGACTAGGCACATTAAGGCAGTGTGGGTGTCACAGTCCAGGCCTGGAGGCCAGGCTGGTATGTTCAACTGCGCCTTATTCAGGTGCGATGCTAGTGTCCTAGATCACAAAGGCCAGGCATAAACCCAGCCTAGCCCAGCTCTTCCTGAAAACAGCTTTACTCATCACCACCACCACTACTACCACCGTCACCACTGAAGGCATCTGAGCAGAGAGAAGGAACCTGTCTTAAATCTCACTGGGTTCCACTCTTTCATCTGACTTCTAGGTCAGCTGGGATCCAGAGAGGGAATCCAAGAGCAGACACCAGAGCGAACTCAGGATTCCCAGCCAACCTCACAAACCAACCTCAATATTCCTCACAAACTCGATCCCGTTCTAAGGTCTCACGTCAGGGCCATTCAAATACTTTTGTTTAAATCCAGAGTTCAAGGGCTGACTCCGAACGGACATAGCCTCCTCCGTGCTTTTGCAAAAACAAGCCACTTCCCTTTATCAACATTTGTCCCTCACCCCGACCACTGGTGGCTAGAACCCAAAGAACACAAGCGAGGGGCCCAGGCCTGGCGCTCTCCAGGATGTCCTTGTGGCTGCTGCCTGCTGCCCGCTGAGCCCTGTGACCTGCCCTGGCTGCAGGCTCTAGGGCGTGGCTGCTTTGGCTTTGCCTCCTGCCTGAGGAATGAGGTGGCTGCTCTCAGAGCTAGGGTTACTTAAGCCAGATGCCAGGGTGGGATCGATGTTAAATTCCTTCTTTTTCTTTTAAAATCTCAGGGGTGCTGTCAGATGGTGAGGCCGGTGTGGGGCTTTGGTGATGGGGATGGATGCTTTGGAAGGAGGCAGGCTCCAGCCCTAGCTCTGTTATTGCTTTGCTGTGTGACTCGGGGCAGGTGACTGAACCTCTCTGAGTTCTGGTTTCCACTGCAAAAACGTGGGGGTGATAATATACTGTGAAGGATTGAGGATCATACAGGATAATGTATCACAAAGGGTCTGGCTGGTTACCAACAGTGATTGGTGGGGGGGGGGGTGTCCCATCACTGTTAGAGCTTCATTTCCATAGGAAAATGAAGCCAACCCAGTCCAAAGAGGATGATGCTAGACCACACAGTTTATAATAATTTCCACATATTTAGCAAAGATGGCATAAGAGATATACTATAGCGGTGTTTATTGAATGTTTAACCATTCTGATTTCACATTTTTTCTGAACTGAAGGTCACCTACTGTGGGTGATGGTCCATTTAGACTACTTTATTAAGAGCAGCCACATGCAAACACCATAGCCAGTGGTGGAGATGATGGTGAAAAGCACAGATGTGGAGCGTGCCCACAGGGAGCTTATGTTTTAGTAGAGGAGACAGAAAAAAAAAAAAAAAAGGAAATCAATGGACAAAGAAAACAACTGAAAACTGGAATAGCTGCTGTGGAGGAAAACCGAGGGACCGAGAAGGAGGTTAGGGGATCTTTCTCAGCTAGGGTAGTCACTGATGGGGTCTCTGAGGTGACAGGAGTTAAAACCTAAAAGCTAAGAGGTGTCAGTTACGTGAAGAGTGAGGGTCAGAGGAGACACGTACAAAGGTCCTGAGGTGGGAGAAAGCGTAATGTGTTCAAGGAACCAAAAGAAGGCCAGGGTGACCCATGTGTAGTGAACACATGCGGATGAGACATGCAGGGTGAGTTTCCTGCAGCCGTGGTGAGGGGCTTGGACCTGCTTCTAGGTGCACGGGAAAGCCGTCAGCACTTTTTAGGTAAAGATGTGGCAAAATCTAATTTACGTTTTCAGAATGGTTTGGCCTGGGACAAGAGTAAAAGCAGGGAGACCAGCCAGGGAGCTGTTGCAAAAGTCAAAATGAGAGATACGGACGGGTGGCCTAGGCAAGGTCAGTAGGAGCGAAGAGAGGGAGAAGGGGGCGGGTTACGGGTGTCTCTTGAGGTGTAACAGGGGCACTCGATGGGCTGGATGTGTGGAGGGAGATCAAGGGAGGAGTGAAGGCTGTTTCTTGGTTTCTGGCCTTTGCAACCAGAAAGACAGTGGTGCAAGGGAGATTGTGGGCTGTGAGAAGAGAATCGAGCATTCTATATTTGAAGGTTAATGGGCATTCAAGTGCAAGGGTGGGGCAGGTGCCTATATATCCGCAGGCGATGGTCTGGACTGAAGTCATCCAGTGGATAAAATCGCCTGGGAGAGTCTGTTTCTGTTTTGTAAGTAAGTTCATTTATATCTTTAAAAAAAATTAGATTCTGCCTATGAGTGATATCATATGGTATTGTCCTATTTACAAAACAGAAACAGACTCACAGATTTTGAAAACAAACTTATGGTGACTAAAGGGGAAACACTGGGGGGGAGGGATAAATTAGGAGCTTGGGATTAACATACGCACACTCCTGTATATAAAATAGATAACCAACAAGAACCTACTACAGGGCTTCCCTGGTGGCGCAGTGGTTGAGAGTCTGCGCCTGCCGATGCAGGGGACGCGGGTTCGTGCCCCAGTCCGGGAAGATCCCACATGCCGCGGAGCGGCTGGGCCCGTGAGCCGTGAGCCATGGCCGCTGGGCCTGTGCGTCCGGAGCCTGTGCTCCACGGCGGGGTAGGCCACAGCAGTGAGAGGCCCGCGTACCGCAGAAAAAAAAGAGAAAAAGAACCTACTATATAGCACAGGGAACTCTACTCAGTATTCTGTAATAACCTATATAGGAAAAGAATCTGAAAAAGAATGGATACATGTATACAGTATAACTGAATCACTTTGCTGTACACCTGAAACTAACACAACATTGTAAATCAACTATACTCCAGTGACGTTTTTTTTAATGAAAAAAGAAATCGCCTGGGGGATATTAGAGAGGAGGAGAGAAGGTCAGTAACGGAGCCCTAGGGCATCATGGCTTGGAGCAGCGGGCAGAAGAGGGACCACAAAGCAGTCTGACAGGTGGAAAGAAAACCAGGAGCTGGTGATGTTTGGGAAGAACAGAGCGGAGCGCGCAGGGCGCAGGAGGGGTTACGCGATCTGTGTGCACGGGAGGCGTGTAATTGGAGCACTAGATCTATTTGTGCAGACATACCCAGGCCTTTAATCGGAGAGCTCAGCTGTCAGAGGCCCTCATTCTGAAACACTTGTAAAGCAGAATGTCAAGGGCTTATTCTCTCAGATGAATGACAAACTATTATTCCCTCTTAAAATGTCATTTAAAGGCCCCTCTGCTGTAACATTACCCGTCCTTTTCTTTGCGGGGGCTGAAGCGAGTCGCCGGAGCCCTTTGAGAAACTGGCTCTCTCTCTCTCCTCCCAGGTGGACCCGGGCTCAGGAGGTGGCAGGTCCTCAGTGAGAAGCCTGCCCTAAGGTGCTCTTCCTTCACTGAGCTTCACTTGACTCACCTGTAGCATGAAGATAATAATGCCCATCTCCTGTGACCGTCGTGAAGATTCAGGAAAGCAGTGTGTGCGAAAGGGATTTCCATAGCGCCTGGCACATAGTAGGTGCTCAATAAACAGCAGCTGATCATAATGATGCTCGGGATGCAGTCAGTAGTGTGGCCTTCCTCTCAGACCCTCACAGTCATCCTCAATCCTTCTCTCTCCTTCACTGTCTCTATCCAAAGCATCACTAACCCCACAACCGCCTCCTCTGCTGCTCCTACCCCATTTCAGGTCTCACCACCTCTCACCTGGGCGACTGAAGCAGGCTCCCAATTTGTCTTTTGTTCCAGTTATTTTGTACCCTTGTCTCTTCTGCATACCTGGGCTGCCAAAATTGTTTTTCAAAAACACTGCTCCACTTCAAATCCTCAAGGGAATCTGCACTTAAATGACTCAGGAGAGAATTTAAGCGCCTTGCAATGGCACATGAGGCCCTTCAGAATTTGGCCTCACCGGCCTCATCTTTGACCACTACCCACCTCCTCCCCACAAGCCGGCCAGTGTCACTCCAGCCGTGAGGAACTACTCACAACTCTCCCCCAAAGCCGTGCTCTTTTGCATCTCAGGTGCTGGCCCCTCAGTCTAGAATGTCATTTCTTCTCTGCTCATCTTTTAAGACCCATCCCAATTGTTGCCTCCCCTCGGAGACTGTTCCCGCCTCTTCCCCACACTGTCAACCTCTCCCTCCTCGGCTCTTCTCCCATGAACAGAAATTCCTTCCTGATGGTCTGCCGTCCCCCCTGGACTGCGAGCCCCTTCATGGCAGGGGCCCTGACTGACGCCTTCGGTGGGACCCTGCTGGCCTGTCTGGCACATCGAAGGACTACATCCGTGTGTAGCTGGCTTCCACGTCACCTGTAAATGAGCACTGGTGGTACCTGCTGAAAGCTCTCCCGCAGATGGCTCTGGTCCTCAGAGTGGCAGAATTCCAAAATGTCCTTTCCTAGAAGATCCTAAATAAAGAGACAAGCTTTAATAATCTCCAATCCCACGTTTCATTTTTTTATATCTCACTGTTAGACAGGAGCGTTCACATACACCCCCTTCAACCCTTTAGCTCACACCATCATTAGGGGAAAAAATGTGGATGCAAATTTTCTCTTTGAGCAATCATGGAGCTGGCGTCTGGTACGCTATCCTCAGTCCTTTCGGCATGTTCAACATTGACTTCTAATTTTGCTAAGGCATTAGACAGCTTCAAAATGCAATTTTATTTTTGTTTGCCTTGGAGAGGCAAACTGTAATAAACATATTTTAATAAACAAAAAGAACGCAAATGATAGCATGAGGACAGATGTGTTGCCTATGAAAACTGGAATTGTTTAAACGGGGAAACTGCAGCTCTCTCGTGCCTGGAGAAATGCTGTTATCATAAAATAACTGTACTTGCTAAAAGCCTGTTTACTACCTACCTTTGCTCCTCTATGTTTTATTCAAAGGACCCAGCATTAACCCCAAACAAAAGTGTTTTGCAATGAAACCAACTATAAAAAGATAAACCGTCAAAAGGCAAATGCATTGTAGGAAAGTGGTCCAGTTGGAAGTGCCTTAAGTGGCAAAGGATTTAAACTAAGTCATCGATCAGAACCCAAATCCGCAAATGGCCTCAGTGGGAGCAGACACTGACAGTGGAAAGGAAGTCTTATTTGTGTGCCAAAAAGCATCTAGATGCCCATGGAAGGTGCTGGTGGATAAATGGATCTGGCTGGAAACAGAGGGCCATCAGAGGTTATGGTGATTTTGGAAACAGATTAATTTTCCCCATCATTCCAACCCAAAATCTGAAGTTTGCATCAACCTAGAGATGTAGAATTATATGAATGCTTCCAATATTTCAATTTGGTCTGTTCTAAAATATATATGTGGGCTTCCCTGGTGGCTGATAAGGAAACTGGGGCTCCGAAATGTAAAGAAAGTGGTCCACTCTTCCAGGGTGTGGCCAAGGCAGTTTGAAACATTTTAGAATCATTGTACTCACGACCTGGAAGGATCTGTGAAATTGAATCCACATGGGGGACTTCCCTGGTGGCGCAGTGGTTGAGAATCCGCCTGCCAATGCAGGGGACACGGGTTCGAGCCCTGGTCCGGGAAGCTCCCACATGCCACGGAGCAACTAAGCCTGTGAGCCATAACTACTGAGCCTGTGTGCCACAACTACTGAAGCCCACATGCCTAGAGCCTGTGCTCTGCAACAAGAGAAGCCACCGCAGTGAGCCCGCGCACTGCAACAAAGAGTAGCCTAGCCCCCGCTTGCCGCAACTAGAGAAAGCCCGCGTGCAGCAACAAAGACCCAATTCAGCCAAAAATAAAATAAATAAAATTTAAAAATTTATAAAAAAATATATATATATATAATTAAAATACCCATATCAACATATCCCAAACTTTGTTCCTTTTGTTTCTTTCCTTTTTGTTCACATGCTTTTTATTTCGAAAATTTAAATCTACAGAAACGTTGAAAGGGTGGTATAATAAAGACCTGTGTGTCGTTTAGCTTGATTCATCAATTGTCAATATTTTGCCACATTTGCATTTTTCTCTTTCTTTCATATATATGTAAACATAAATATATAAGTGAAACATAAAATATAGAGAAATGAAATATCTTTCATATACACATATATTTTAAAATTTTTTGTTGAATCATTTGAAAATAATTAGCAGAAATCATGACACTTCTCCCTGAAATATATATCTCATAAAAATGACACCATCTCACAAATCCATAATATACCATATTATGCCTAAAACAAAATCAATAGTTACTTGATAAAATCACCCATTATTCCATACATATTAACATTTCCTCCCAAATGTCCTTTATAAGTCTGCAGGCTGAGGACCCAATTAAGGCTCTTACATTACATATTATTATTTTATCTCTTTGGTTTATCTTAATTTGGAACAATCTCTCCTGCCTTTTGGTGTTTCTCATGACTTCTGTGTTTCTCATGGACTTTTTTTAAAGAAAGGCCTTGAGAATGTGCCCCCTGTAAAATGAGGTTCCAAATGCATTTGAGAAACAAGCAGTTAGACAAAATTAATTGAACATCTTTAAGACTTTTCAGCATCTTTCACACTAATATACTTTTAAAGTTTCTAAGGAGATTTTTCCGTTTGGTGTTAAACTTAATTGATCAGAGAGCCTCTTTTTCATAGAGCATCTTAACTCTAGTTTGAGAAAAATCATTTAGATTAAACGAAATGGTTAGGACAAAAAATGGAGAGTTAATTTTAAGCAGTGCAGTGGCATACAATCTTCTTTTTTGCTTTGGAAGGACATTACTGTACCCAGGTAGGGAGATGGATTTTTATCCTGTGTTTCCCTATATTGTGATGTACAACATCTCGAACAAATGAAGTAGGTGCATTTTAAGTAAAACTAAATCTCTAGCTGACTGCCATGAGCTCAAAACCACCTACCTGGGGTTGGTAGCCAATCACACTGATGCATCTTGGGTCCACAAATGTGATGATCCCGTCAGAGTTATGCCGGGATAAGAATTCCGTTGGCACCGACATCCCACTCATGTCCATGCACACAGGAGAGCTGGTCACCTGGATGGAGAAATCCACAGGGAGGTGGTGATGGAGACTGAGTTAGAGAATGGGAACAATCCATGTGGATTTTTAAAATAATTAATTAATTTGTTTATTTTTGGCTGCGTTGGGTTTTCGTTGCCGCGTGCGGGCTCTCTAGTTGCGGTGAGCCGGGGCTACTCTTTGTTGCAGTGTGCAGGCTTATTACGGTGGCTTCTCTTGTTGCAGAGCATGGGCTCTAGGCGCGCGGGCTTCAGTAGTTGTGGCATGTGGGCTCAACACTTGTGGCTCGCGGGCTCTAGAGCACAGGTTCAGTAGTTGTGGCTTAGGGTCTAAGTTGCTCCGCGGCATGTGTGATCTTCCCAGACCAGGGCTCGAACCCGTGTCCCCTGCATTGGCAGGCGGATTCTCAACCACTGCGCCACCAGGGAAGTCCCCCATGTGGATTCAATTTCACAGATCCTTCCAGGTCGTGAGTACAATGATTCTAAAATGTTTCAAACTGCCTTGGCCACACCCTGGACTAACCGGAAGAGTGGACCACTTTCTTTACATTTCTGAGCCCCAGTTTCCTTATCAGTCCCTGGGAATTAGGAAGCTGTAACCTCATAGGGTGGTTGTGAGGTTCAGAGAGACACTGCACATCAAACCCTGGCACAACACCTGGCACACAGCTGGTGCTCAGAAATGTTAATACCCTTCCCTTCCCCCACATTCCCGTTACTAAGGATGGGAAATGAGCCTAAGGAACTGGTCAAAATATTTGGAAAGTCTATATTTGTGTACTGAATTTACCCAAGTGTTCTTTCTTCCCCATTTGCAAGGAATAACCAAAGCTTACCACACGTGAATGGAATAGCTTATTCATCTGTCTGAAAATGGTAAGATCTAGGAAACCAGGGATGTGAAAGGTCAGTGTCCTCTGAACTACATCTTTCATGGCCCCTTCATCAGTACGGAGAAGGCCCTCGACGCCACAAGGAGAAAGACTGAGTGGCTACTGTGTGAGCCAGGCATGAAGCCAGCGGACTTTATATACATTATTCAGCATATCTAATTCTCAAAAGATTAAAAAGACACATTTTTTGCCCTTGAGGAGCTTGCAAGGAAGGGGACTGCCCTCAACTAACTATACGAAAACAGACAGTGAAGAACTGACATATAAACGTAACGCCAGGCATGTAGGGAGGAGGGGGTGATTCATTTTGACTAAGCAGATAAAGGAGTCATTTCACTGGATCTTGAAGGATGAGGAAATAGGAAGTAAACGAGAGGAGAAGGAGCTGTAAAAGAAGAAGAAGGGAAACAAGGAAATACAAGGCAGAAGGAACAGCCCGTGGACAACTGCAACGGTGGGGAAGTGTACGGTGCGCGGTGGGCTTGTGGAAGGGGCATGCTGTGGTTTGGGAACAGGGCATGAGCGGGGAGGGAGGAGGTGGGGTTGTAAGATGAGTGAGTGCTTTATCCTGCAGACGATGGGGCAACATTCAAGCGGATTAAACAGGGGTGTGAAACAACAAGGTCCTACTGTGTAGCACCAGGAACTATGTTCAGTATCTTGTCATAACCTATAATGGAAAAGAATCTGAAAAAGATATATCTGTCGATGCAATGGGTTGGCCAAAACGTTCGTTTGGGTTTTTCCGAAAAGCGTGAATGAACGTTTTGGCCAACCCAATATCTATCTATGTGCCTATGATGTGTCAATCTATGTATCTGTCTATCTATCTATCTGTTTATCTCTCTATATTTCTATTTATCTTTCTCTATATATCTGAATCGCTTTGCTGTACACCTGAAACCAACATGATATTGGAAATCAACTACACTTCAATAAAAAAATATTTTAAAAACCCGGGTGTGATGTGAGCAGAGCTCAGCTTTGCAGTAACTGGCGCACATGCGGGGACGGACTGACTCAGGCCCTCAGGGAAGCAAGGACAGCTTGCTTCTGCTGCCCCCAGCTCAGAGTCCCTGCCCCCCCCGTCTTCTCCCAGATTCAGCCTCCTCCTTCTCCCACAGAGTGAGACACAGAACCCAACGATACTGAGGACACAGGTCGAAAAAGGCATCCAAACCTACAGGCTCTTGCTCTTTGCAATAATAAGCCTTCCCCGGAGATCAAAAAGGCTGTGAGCTTTTGCTTACCTGGAGTCTCCCAATTGCCACAAGGCAATATTTACTGCTTTGTCCCACGTCGGCATCTTCTTCGGGTATGGTCATTCCTGAAATGAGAAATGCCAGAGTCATCAACGACATGTCCAAGATGAATCGAAAAAGGGTAAAAGTGTCCATGATTTTATCTACACAGTCAAAGATTGACCCTGCAGGGTCTGGGAAGCTGCCAATGAATTAACCACCCCTCGCTCATTTCCTGCTCCTCTCTCTGCCTGATGTCTTTTGATAATTTCATGGTACATTATCATCTGCATCTGTGGATGATGCAGAGGGATTTAAGGAAGATGAAACAAATTATTCATTTATACATTTGCAAAACTTGGCTAAAACACTTGGTTATAAGAGAAATTTCGATAAGAGGCATATAGGGGCACTTCAAATTATGTAAATATTTCACTTATCTGTTGCCAAAAATCAAAGACCATCAGAGGCAGAATCATAAACAAAAACAAAAAACAAAAAATAAAACTCACCAAAACTAAAATGACTAACTTGCCGGGCAAGAGAACATAACCAGTTTTCACCCTTCTGATGTAAAGTCAGGGTTTTCGAGGGCTAGAAAGGAGAAACTGGTGATGGGAATGATGATTAAACGCTAAAAACCAGTGCTCTGGATAGGAAGGAATTGGTTAAAACAATCCTCGTTGTTGGTTAGAAGTGTTGTAGTGAAACAAGCATTCTGCTCTGATATCTCCTAGACAAGAGCTGTTAAGTAGAAAATTCCCTTTTATACTGCATAACACTTAACATAAGTATTTTCGCACTAGGTCAGATCGAAGGTTCACGGTGATGGAATCACACAAGCACAGTGACAGCCCATCACTACAGACTGTGAAGGGAGTGTTAACACGACTCTAGCTGTAAGGGCCAGAAAAATGTCACTCCCTCCTCATTCCCACCACCCTCTTCACACTCCTCTCTGCCTCCCCTCAAGCCCCCTCCGCTGGAGGTAACCAGCCCCTTAGGTTTCTGCTTTATCCTTTGCTGTATTTCTTTTGCACAAATGAGCATCTGTCTCCTCTTCTCCTATGAAGGGCAGTGCACTGTAGATGCTCTTTTGGGCTTTGTTTATTTCACTTCACAGTATGCTCTGAAAGTCACTCCGTAATTATTCATAGAGCTCCTCCTAATTCTTTTTTCAGAATTGCATATTGCTGCATTATGTAGAGTAACCAAGGTTGAATACTACCACCCTCTTATGTATGAATATTTAGGTGTTTCCAATACTTTGTAACTACAAACAAGGCTGCAAAGAATAATCTTGTGCACACACATTTTCTTAAGAATTGGAGGTGTAGATACACCCAGAAGATACACCTACCCTAGAAGTGGGATTTCTAGGTTACAAGGTAAGTGTATATGTATGTAGTTTTGTTAGGCGTTGCCAAATTCCCCTCCAGAAGGAGTGTACCAATGTGCATTCCCACCAACAAGGTAGGAGAGGCCTTTTCCCCCAGTCTTGGCCAACAGAATATGCTGTCATATGATTTAATTTCGGTCAGTTGGATAGGTTAGAAATGGTATTTCAGTGCTGTCTTAATTTGCATTTCTCTAATTATGAGTGAGCCTGCACATCATTTCATATGTTTGAGGATCATTTTTGTATCTTATCTTTTAGTGAATTGTCTATTTGTGTATCTTCCCCATTTTTATTAAAGGTTTTCTTTTTTCTTTTTTTAATTTATATATTTTATTTTTTGCTGCGTTGGGTCTTCGTTGCTGTGCCTGGGCTTTCCCTAGTTGTGGCAAGCAGGGGCTACTCTTCATTGAGGTGTGCAGGTTTCTCATTGTGCTGGCTTCTCTTGGTGCAGAGCACAGGCTCTAGGCGCACATGCCTCAGTGTGGCACGTGGGCTCAGTAGTTGTGGCTCACGGGCTTAGCTGCTCTGCAGCACGTGGGATCTTCCTGGACCAGGGCTCGAACCCATGCCCCCTGCATTGGCAGGCAGATTCTTAACCACTGCACCACCAGGGAAGCCCCCTTCCCATTTTTCTATTGGGATTTTGATCCTTTGCCCCTCAGTTTTCAGGAGTTCTTCGTATATCAGGCATATTAAGCCTTTGTGGTATATGTTGTGAATATGTTCTCCCGGGTGGGCCTTTGTCTTTTGACTTCCCTTATGATGATTGAAAAAATGTATAATTTTTATGTAGTCAAATTTATCAATCTATTACCTCTAGTATCTGAGTCATAATTAGAAAGCCATTTCCTACACCAAGGTTAAAGAGAAAGTCAGCCATGTTTTCCTCTGATATTTTATGGTTTCCTTTTTTACATTTAGATCCCTAATCCATTTGGAGCTAATCTTGTGTAAGGATGTGAGATATATTGGATTTAATTTTACCTTTTTCTAAATGGCTAGCCAGTTGTCCCACTAACATTTATTAAAAATGCAGTGATTTGAGATGCCACCTTTATCATACTATAAATTCTAATATGTATTTGGGTCTAATACTGGGCTTTCTCTTCTATTCCACAGGCCAATTGTCCATCAAGCATTAGTACCACAGGACTTTAATTACAGAGAATTTATTGTATGTTTTAGTCTCTGGCAGGGCTATTCCTCCCTTGTAGTTTTTCTTTTTCATTGTTTTCTTGTCTATTCTTAGACGTTTATTTTTTCACATGAACTTAGTGTCAACTTATTTAACTCCATAAATAGCTTGCTGTTATTTTTATTAGGACTGAATTAAATTTATAAATCAACTTCAGGAGAACTGACATCTTTATAAAGTTGAATTGTCCTACTCAAGAACAGGGGATGTTTTCCATTTGTACGCCTGCTTTTGTGTCTTCCAGAACTGTATTAAAAATTTCCTCATATATACTTGTACTTTGTATACTTATGAAAATTCCTAAGTACTTAAATTTTTTAAAAAATTTAAGTGTAAATGACATATTAGTTTCAGGTGTACAACACAGTGACTTGATATTTTTATAAAATGATCACCACAATAAGTCTAGTTACCATCTGTCACCTTAAAAGTTTTTACATTTCCTATGCTGTACGTTACACCCCTGTTACTTATTTATTTGATAACTGGAAGTTTGTACCTCTTAATTCTCTTCACCTATTTCACTCTCCCCAGACACCCTCCCCTCTGGCATTCGTTTATCCTCTGTATCTATGAGTCTGTTTCTGTTTTACCTTGTTTATTTGTTTGTCTCGTTTTTTGGATTCCACATATAAGTGAAATCATATGGTATTTGTCTTTTTCTGCCTGACTCATTTCACTTAGTATCAATATAATACGCTCTAGGTCCAACCAGGCTGTCACAAATGGCAAGATTTCATTTTTTTTTTTTAATGGCTGAGTAATATTTAGTTGTGTATATATACCACATATTTTTTTATCCAGTCATCTATCAATGGACACTTAGGTTGCTTCCATATCTTGGCCACTGTGAATAATGCTGCAATGAACATAAGGGTGCATATATCTTTCTGAACTAGTATTTTTTGTTTTCTTTGGAAAAATGCCCAGAAGTGGAACTGCTGAATCAGATGGCAGTTCTATATTTAATTTGTTGAGGAACCTCCATTTTGTTTCCATAGTGGCTGCACGAATTTACATTACCACTAACAGTGCATGAGGGTTCTCTTCTCCACATCCTTGCCAACACTTATTATTTGCTGTTTTTTTGATAATAGCTATTCTGACAGGTGTGAGGTGATTATCTCACTGTGGTTTTGATTTGCATTTCCCTGATGATTAGTGAGGTTGAGCATCTTTTCATGTGTCTGTTGGCCATCTGTAGTCTTCTTTAGAAAAATGTCTATTCAGATCCTCTGCCCATTTTTTAATTGGGTTGTTTGCTTTTTTGATGCTGAGTTGTATGAGTTCTTTGTATATTTTAGATATTAACCCCTTATCAGATATATCATTTGCAAATATCTTCTCCCATTCAGTAGACTGCCTTTTCATTTTAATGCTAGTTTCCTTCTCTGTGCAAAAGCTTTTTAGTTTGATGTAGTCCCATTTGTTTATTTTTGCTTTTGTTTCCCTAGCCTAAGGAGACATATCCAAAAAAAATTGCTAAGATGGATGTCAAAGAGCATAGTATATTTAGTTCACAGAGTTTTATGGGTTCAGGTCTTACATTTAAGTCTTTAATCCATCTTGATTTTTTTGTGGTATGGTGTGAGAAAGTAGTTCAGTTCGATTCTTTTGCATGTGCTGTCCATTTTCCCAACACCATCACATATATGTACGCAAACCTTGCTGGCCTTCAATGCCAGATGTCTGGGGGCTTGTCTTCCTGATGCAGGACTCTCAGTCCAGGGAGTCCGATGTGGGGCTTGGACCCCTCACTCTATGGGGAGAATTTCTGCAATTGTGATTATCCTCCTGTTCGTGGGTCACCTCCCTGGGGATATGGGTCTTGACTGCATGGCATGTTTGCCCCTCCCACCCATCTTACTGTGGTTCCTTCTTTTTTTTTTTTTTTTTTTTTTTTTTTGGCCATGGCTCACGGGCCCAGCCGCTCCGCGGCACGTGGGATCTTCCCGGACCGGGGCACGAACCCGTGTCCCCTGCATCGGCAGGCGGACTCTCAACCAGTGCGCCACCAGGGAAGCCCCTGTGGTTCCTCCTCTATCTCTTTAGTTGTGGAAAACCTTTTTTGATAGTCTTCAGGTCGTTCTCATCCATAGTTGCTCTGTAAATAGTTGTAATTTTGTTGTGCCCATGGAAGGAGGCGAGCCCAGGGTCTTCCTACTCCCCCCATCCTAAGTATTTAACCTTCCTTCTTGCTATTATAAATGGGGTTTTCTCTACCCTTATGCCTTCTGTGTATTGTTTATGTATACCAAGACTATTGACTTTTGTATATTCTTTGTATTGTGTTACTTCACTGAATTATTGCTTCAGTTAATTTTACTGTTGATTCACTGGGCTTTTGTAGGTATATTATCATATAATTTAGTGTATATGCTGCCGAAGTGAGCACATCATATAACTTAAAACAGAGATAGTTTTCCTTCTTCTTTACACAGTTTTTGCCGCTGATTTCTCTTGTTTAATTACAAGGGCTAATATCTCTATTA